ACAGAGGGACTGCAGTCAGGTTACCCCAAGACAGGTACAGAAAGAACAGTTCACCTAGGGAGGAGAAGGAGCTGAGAAGGAAACAGGGCCCACCCGGCCCCCTCCCACGTAGGCTTTCCCTGAGCTGGGCCTGCCAGGGAGCCAAGGAGCTGTGGATCAGAAAGAGTGAGGAGTTCCTATCTTCTGCTCCATGGAGTCTTTCAGTATTTCTGAAATGAGGCTGTTCTTGTGACTGCAAGAACAGAAAAGGACTCAGGCCTGCCTGAGACACCATCCGGGGGGACAGGTTGGAGAGGCCATGGAGATGAGCCAGGTGACCCTCGAAAACAGGCAGGGCTGCTGGCTTTACCACCCCATCGCCTAATCAGCCTGCACCCGTGAATGAGGTTTGCCGTCCCGACGCTAAGTCAGGAGTAGGGGTGTTTCGTAGGGCGGCAGGTCTCCACAGCCCACACAGGCTTCTGCATCGTCCTGACTGGGTGGTGGGGGCTCACACACCCTCTGCAATGCCTTGCAGTGGTCTAGCATGTCCCTCCCCACCTCGAGGGTCTTGTGAGGGTCTTACCTCTAGGTAAGGACCAAAGGAGTCGTGGGCCACCCTGTGAGGGCTTGGTGGCCCAGCCACATCTGGGTACCCTGCTGTTGGATCCCTCAGCCTTGCTGATCGACTGTCCTCATAATTAGGCTGCTTGAGGGCAGCGCCCCAAGCCCCAAATTGTGTCCCTCAAAGTCCAGCTGACCCTGATTGAGTGATCCTGTGTAAGCCCAGAGGTTTTTCTCCCCATCCTGGAATGCCCAGCTACATGCGTTTAGATGACTAGTATATTTATAAATAAATTAGCTAGATTAGATGGCACTAAATATTTGAAGAGAAAAGAGATTTTAATTTTTCTTGTGCAGTTCATGTTGGACTGATGACTTTCACAGCCTTAGTGTCTTAATCAATTGTAACTTTTATCTCCACCGAGGTTCCGTTGCTACAGCCTGGCCTGCGGGAGCCCTTTCCCTCCTTCTCTGTCCTTTTTGCACCTGTCTAGAGCCTTTGGACACATCTTTTCTTTTGAGAGGCAGGATGTTCGGGGTCCACCTGAATTTTCTCTGCTTGAGACATAGGTTCAGCTATTCTCCAGGAGCCTCTGACCCTCATCACAGAGGCCAGGATTGATTCCATAGCTGGGGACCAGGAGGAGGAGGAGCTTTTCTGGGTTTTTCCATGGAGACCGGTATTAAGGCACTGTAGCAACAGGCTTGGAAAAGGATATATTTGTTTAAATTATGAGTGTAGCTCTAACATTGCCTTATAATAAACAATTTGAATATATCTTCTTAAATAATTTCATCCCCCTTTTAGAATAATTTGACAAACCATACAAATAAGTAGATATATTGAACAAAATGGATAAAGTTCACATAATTACTTGTTGTTTTTGTAATCCATCATTCACAGTTAAATTAATCCAGAATAGCAGTACCAATATTAACAAGAAATCCACTGGGTGAATAACAACAGTTCACATTCTGGTTGTCATGGGTGGGGACTTTTTAGGGGACATTTTACCAAAGTATTCAGTCAGATCGTTTAGTTTGGAGGCCCCTGCAGTGTTTCCATTTGGCTTTGTCACATTGACGCTTTTGGGTGTGTTCCACGTTCAGCTGAATTTTGAAGGTGTCCCCGTGCTGGTAACTGGAAGCCCTTGCTGGTGCGAGGTCAGCCAGCAGCCCCCATTCGCGTGGTGCTTGCTGTGGGAAGGGTGGAGAGGTCTCGAAAACGCAGTGGGACCTCTATCGTAGAGCCAGAGGATGCAATAGGCCACTCCTGGCCCCTGAGTGGAATCCGGCAGGACCACTGTCTGAGGTTTACGTTAGAGTAGACAGAGCTACGAGTCAGCCCCAGGACTCCGGCCAGCTGGCTGCCCCACCACTCACCGCCCTGGTGGCCCCGACCTTCTGCGGGCTTGCCTCTCCTGCCCATAGCTGCGGATTTTGTGCCTCTTTTCCATCTTCATGAGCTCGTTCCTTTTCTCTGTCGAACCCTGACGCTGTGCTGATGCTGATGCTACGACTGATGGGGATGCCTTTGTCATGAGTGAGTGGATGCTGTGCTCAGGGTGGCTGAGGAGGTGGGGCTCACTTATCTGCAAAGACACTACAGCCAGAATGGTGAATGATTTGCCCAAGGTCACGTAGCTGGTCTGGGTAGAGACAGAACTTAAAATCCTGTGGGTCTTCCTCCCAAGCTGGGGCCTTCTCCACGGGCCCGTGCTGCCTCCCCAGTTCTGCATGCATTTTTGGAGAGCCAGGAGATGCTGCCTCTTTTCCTTGCTCCCAGGCTGAGCGAGGCTCCCAGCTGTCTCCATGCTACCCCAACAGACAGGGCGGCCAAGCTGGGGGACCCAGGACTCGGCTCAGCACGCCTCCTAGTCCAGGCATCTTTCTTTCTCCACCCGTAGTTTCCTTACTTGAAATAAGACTCCTCATGTGTTTTGGTAGCCCACTTTTTTTCACCTCATATTTCTGCACAAGCATTTCTTCAACTTATTATTACAAAGTTTTCAAAAGTATTTTTTTAAATAAACTTCTTATTTTGAAACAGTTTTAAGAGTCACAGAAAAGTTGCAAAGAGAGTTCTCATATCCTTCCTACCCAGCTTCCTCTGCTGGTAGCGTCTGTGATTACTATACCACCCTAGAAAGCACCGCAAACTGGAGGGTTTAAAACACAGTTCTGGAGGCCTGAAGGCTGAGATGAAGGTGTGGGCTGGGCCATGCTCTCTGCTAAGCCTCTAAGGGAGGATCCTGACTCGCCTCTTCCAGCTTCTGGTGACCCCATGAGTTCCTGGGCTTGTGACAGCCTCATCCCAGTCTCTACCTCCATCTTCCCATGGCCATCTTCTTTGTGTCTCTCTGTGTCGTTGCCTCCTCTTATCTGGACACTTGTCATTAGATTTAGGGCCCACTCTAAATCCAGGATGATTTCATCTTGAGATCTTTAACTAATTACTTATTGGATCCTTAACTAGTTGGAAATAAGATCACATTCTGAGGTTCCAGGTAGACATGAATTTTGGGGAGCACCAACCCACTGTATACCACCATGGTATATTTCTCTCAACTGAGAAACCAACACTGGTACATGACTCAACCAAACTCCACACCCTATGCAGATTTCATCATTTTTCTCCACTAATGTCCTTTTTCTGTCCAGGATGCCATCCAGGGCACCATATTACATTTAGTTGTCACGTCTCAGACTCCTCTTGGCTGTGACATTTTCTCAGACTTTCCTTGTTCTTGATGACCTTGACAGTTCCAGGAGTGCGGGTCAGATATCCTAGAACGTCCTCCGCTGGGATGTGTCTGATGTTCTTCTCAGGATTAGACTGGGGTGTGGGAGGGAGACCACAGAGGTAAAGTGCCCTTTTCATCACGTCCTGTCAAGGGTGCTGCTATCGACAAACTTACCACGTGGGTGTTGACCTTCATCACCTGGCTAGGTCTCTCCACTGCAGTTATTCCCCCTCTCCCCAGTGTACTCTCTGGAAGGGGGTCTCTAAACGGAGCCCACACTCAGGAGGTGGGCAGTTATTTAGAGGTCTTCTGCGCGGGAGACTTGTCTCTTCTCCCCTACTTATTCATTGAGTCAATCACTTATTTATATCAGGGTGGACTCAAGCATATTTATTTTATACTGTGTTGTAACCCAATACGACATTATTTATTTTATTGCTAGCTTTGGCTAGTGGGAGCCCTTTCAGGTTGGCTCCTGGGTCCCTGTGACATGCCCACTATCTTTTTGTGTTGTGAGCACCTCCTTACTTTACAGTACTATAGAATGCTCCAGGCTCATCTTGTATCCTCCCTGCCCCAACCCTAAAATAGCCATTTCTCCAAGAGCCCTGGTTCCTTTTCTTAGAACCTGGAACGAAATTGCACGGCATTGAAAGGGATGGTCAAGAGCCGTTTTTGATACACACCAGCAAATTGTTTTACAAAAGGATTACTTTGTGCCCCATCTCTAACCCTGGAGACCAAGCTGCCCATAGGCTGGTTCTCCACTTACCGTACAGTTGAGGATGAGCTCCCAGTTGCATAGACTTCTGGGGGCTGGGAGTCCAATAGCTCCCTGGCAGTGCTGGGCTGGTAACAGGAGATATAAATCCCATGCTGTCCTTTGTAGTATCTTGAGGACTGAAAATATCATTCTGAATTGTTCACAATAGCGCCAAGTGGGAAACAAACTGAATGTCCATCAATGGTAGAATGGATCAAAAAGTTGTGATATATTCCCCAAAACATACAGCCATGAGAATAAGCCAACTATAATCCAGGTGATATTGTGGATGAAACTAATAAACGGGACACTGAGCAGAAGAGGTGAGACACAACAGGGACGGCAAGACAGTTCCACTTATGTGCAGTTCATAGTGGCAAAACCACGCCCTCTTGTTTGGGGCTGTGCACTTCTGAAGCACCACAAGAAAGAAGAGGCATGGGATGACCATCAGGATGTGCTCTGGGGAGCCTGGGGCTTCCTGGGGGCTGGCATGTCCTATGCACAGGCCTGGGCAGTATCTGAATACCCAGCTCCCTGTGGCTTCAAAGCAATGAGTGCCCTCGTCTCTTATCTGGAGTCCAGGGGTGGATGGGCTTCAGGGCAAGCCCAGTGGCTCTGACTTGGTTTCCCCAGGACTCTCTTGGCTGTCCCCCTCAGCTTCATCGTCAGCTCTGGGGAGGTGGCTGTGTGATTCTGGGCTCACACCCCCCAGGACCACAGTGGAGGAAGGGAGGACATAAGGTGGAAATTCCCCAACAGGCCTGACCTCCAGGGAACCACTAGGAGCTGATGAGCTTAGATCCAGGTTCCAGGGTGACTTGGAGTCAGCGGATGGTTCTGCCCCCCAGACCTCATGCTGCTCCCAGGGCTAGGGCAGAACCAGGGGGCACATGCTTGCTCCAGAGGGCCCCTCCGGCTCTGACATGGCAGGTCGGTTGTTCAAGCAGACAGCTGAGCTGATGCAACAGTGTGCCAAGAGGCGACTCCAGGAGGAAAGGTCCATGAAGGAGCTGGTGGAGCAGGTGATGGAGGCACGGAAGAATGTTCAAGTGGCACAGACAAAGCTCCTGAAAGGCCGACGGCAGATAGGTATGGTGCGGGGTCCCAGTGCTATGAGGCAGTGCCTAGCCCTGCTCCCCCCAGTTCAGGTCCGGGCTGGCCTCCTGCCCTGGGTGAGCCACTGTGGTCAGTGAAGGGCTGAGGTGCCCTCAGGGGAAGGCCAGGGTTGTGCAGGCCGTTCCAGGGAAAGGTATCCCCTGCCCAGCGCCTGCCGGGCTCTCTCCAACCCCTTCAACACCCTGCTTGGCCCCCAAGTTCAGGAGGTGATAGAGGAGAGCCGGGAACTGCTGCAGCGCAGCACAGAGGCAGCCAAGGAGGAGCAGAGGCGGCGCTGTGAGCTCATCTCCCAGCTGCGAGCCCTGGAAACGCAGCCCACACGCAAGGGCAAGCTCGTGGACCTGACCCAGGTGAGGACACAGCTCCCTGGAGCCCATGCCCTATCCAACGATCTTGACGAGCCTCTATGTGTCCTGCTGTGCCTGTCATTGCCATGAGAGGGCGTGTCCAGAATTCCTACCAAGGCCAAAAGCCATCTCGCCCCAAGCTGAGATCCACCTGACCACCCATGCCCCGCTGTGGACCCTGCACCCACCATGCTGGAGGCCTGGGTCTGGCCCAAGAGTTCACAATGCTGTTGGGGGCCAGGGCCCCTGAGGCTGGGCAAGGTAGGCTTCATGGAGCTACATGTTGAGCAAGGTCCAGGGACTCCCCAGGCCCAGGTGGGAAGGGCAGTGTAGGGAGAGTGCAGGTGCAGGAAGGCCAGAGGCTGGACGAGCAGGAGGCTGAGAGGAGGGCACCGGGGCCTGGAAGCCTGTGTGAGAAGCACAGTGAGAGGCCAGGCTGGCACCTGGTGAGGCACGGGCAGGCCTGGGAGGGCCATGGGAGCAGGACAGGGGCCTGGCCTGGTCTCAGTGGGTGTGCAGAGTCTGAAGGGCTCTCTGCCCAGGCCCCGGAGTCCTGCCTGGGGAGAAAGTAGTGAGCTCCATTTGGGCCCTGCCACAGTGGAGGCGCCTGAGGGCGCCCGGCTGAGATGTCCAGTCACCACATGGGTGTAGGGCTGCAGAGGGGGCCCAGGCTGGAGAAGCTGGATGGCGGACACATTATACAGGCACTACTGAGCAGAAGGAGGGAGATCTCCTGGGCCCGGCGCCAGGCCTGTGGAACACGGGAGGGACACCAGTGCTGGTGCGGAGGAAAGGCCAGGGCACAGGAGATGGCCGGGCAGGCTGGGCATGGGCCTGGCTCCCAGCTGGGGGCCTCCACCGCCCACCCTGCAGATCCCCGGGTATGGCCTGGAAGGGGAGATGTCCATCGTGGAGATGCGTGGGCGGCTGGCCCTGCTCAAGGAGATGCAGCGACGCGAGGAGGAAGAGAAGCGGGACCAGATCATCCAGGGCAAGCGTGCCAAGAGCCAAGAGCTGCAGAACGCGGTGGAGCAGATCTCGCTGTGCCGCGCAGCCATGGGCAGATCTGCAGCCTTGAGGTTGGTACCTGGCCCGGGGGCAGGCGCCTCAGGCAGGCAGAGAGCAGCGAGCCTGCCTTTGCACCCCCGAGTGGGTTCTCCTCGCAACACTCACCACCCTCCTGCCCTGGCAGCTCCCTTACAATAACTTCCCCCACCCATGCTATTTTATTAGACAATTTTCAGGCATACAGAAATGGTGAAAAAATCATGCAGTGATGGCTCACCCATGACCTAGATTCAATCATTTTGCATCTAGGTCATGGGTATGACCTTTTGCCATGTGCTTCATCTAGCTGGTTAGCTATTCATCTGTCTTTGCAGAACCATTTGGAAGTACTCGCATCAGACACTTTACTCCTAAACACTTTGGGGTGCATCTTCTTAAAAAAAAACATTTTCCTACATAACCACAGCATAATGACACAACTAGAAAATTTAAAATTCCCAATGTGAGGGCCGGCCCTGTGGCTTGGTGGTTAAGTGCGCGCGCTGCGATGCTGGTGGCCCGGGTTCGGATCCCGGGTGCGCATCGAGGCACCACTTCTCCGTTCATCCTGAGGCCGAGTCCCACATACAACAACTAGAAGGATGTGCAGCTACGACACACAACTATCCACTGGGGCTTTGGGAAAAATAAAATAAATAAAATCTTTAAAATTCCCAATGTGGGGGCCAGCCCAGTGGCGTAGTGGTTAAGTTCGTGCGCTCCGCTTCAGTGACCCAAGGTTCATGGGTTCAGATCCCAGGCACAGACCTACATACCACTCATCAAGCCATGCTGTGGTGGCATCCCACATACAAAATAGAGGACAATTGACACAGATGTTAGCTTAGCTACAATCTTCCTCAAGCAAAATGAGGGAGATTGGCAACAGTTGTTAGCTCAGGGCCAATCTTCCTCACCAAAAAAAAATAAAATAAGATTCCCAATGTCATCTAAATATCCTGTCTGTATTCACATGTCTCCAGGGTTCCCCAGACTGCTATAACTTTTTAAAGATTGTTTGCTGTATCTTTTTCTTCTCTCTTTTTAAACCAGGACCAGGACCTCTGGTTGAGGTTCACACACAGCATTTGATTGTTAGGCATCTCTCCTCTCTTTTAATGGAGAGCATGCACACAAACACCCCTTTCGTTTTGTTTTGTGGTGACTTTTCTAGCTCCATGTGGCTGTCTTGTGGCAGCTTGGTCAGGCATAGGTTGGTGTCACTCCTGGGGTCAGGCTGGCCTTTGGGCCCTGGCCTCATCCCACGAGGAGGCAAGGCTGCCCCAGGGGAGGTGGCACCCAGCCCTCTCATAGCATAGCCTGTGTCAGGGCTCCAGAGACAGTGCCTGAGTATAACTGGGGCAGGGTGAGATAGTGGGCTGGACTGAAGGAAGGACACTCACAGAAGCCATCACTATTGGTTCTGAGTGACTGCTGCTCTGATTACCATTCAGAGGAGGCCCAAGACAACTGCTGGGGGCTGCCCAGGGAGGGCTGACTGGCCACCCGGCAGGTCCCCAAGGTGGCATGCACCTGGGAGACCTCACCACTTCCCAGCCCCTGGCCTTAGCCTGACAGACCCAAATGCAGTCTGGTTGGCATTGGGGAACCTCTAAGGGTCCAAACCCACTAACAAAGCTTCCGGAGTCCCCTGCGTGCAGACCCCATGGCATTAATTCACCAGGAGCATTTTAGTGGGCAAGGGGCTGGAATCAGCCAGGCAGCGATGGTGGCCGAAGGAACAGCACCTGTGAATGCCCTGATGCTGTGATGTGTGCTTAAACCAAAGGCTCAGGGAACAGTGTATAAGGAGACCTTATTTGAGGAGTGGTCTACCTAGTGTAGAAGAGATCTGCAAAGATAGAACAGTATTAGCAGGCGTTACCTCTAGGTAACCCCTAGAGTTAGGTAAGAGAGTGGCGGGGGAGCGCGAGATAAAGGGAGGCTTTTACTTTTTTACCCCAAATACACAGTTAATACACATGGAATACTTTCCCAAAATGCGAAGTACGAATTGCAAAATGGTAGAGGCGCCGGGGGGACCCCACCCGCGCGGTCCTCGGAGGGCCTCTCCGCCTGGCCCTAAATCCCTTCCCTTAATCTGGGGTTGGGGGCCCCTCCTAAGCCGCCTTGTCGCCCGCCCAGGTGGGAGGAGAAGAAAGCTCTGTGGGCGGACCCGGGGGCGCCCTCCCAGGACGAGCGCGTGCTCGAGCTGCAGCGCAGGATCGAGGAGAAGGCGGCCGAGCGCCGCAGGCAGGCGCGCCCGCTGCGCGTAGCGGCGCCTCGGGCCCCGCGCCCC